ATAAGCATATAAATTGAAAATAATCAATTGTCATCAATAAATTTTTGGAAGTGAACACATATGGAATTCATCATTCATCAAATGTATCATACAATTTTGAGTATAACAAACATAATCATAAGGCATGACATACAAGTATCACATGTAGTTTAAAAAAACTTAAGCATAAAGAGAGAAGTGAAGCAATATTACTTCTTGGATGAAAGACCGAGGGAGTAATCACTTACGCTTCTTTTACTTGTATAGCCAATGATGAAATCCATTAGTTATCAAATTGATTTTCTCCAATTTATTTTCACAAATACATTTGGTGTCTATATATTGATAATATCGCGAATGTAGGACAAAAGTCCCACGCAGTAATTTTAAACTCAAATAACATGCCCTCAGACCAGTGGTCATCAAAGAGGAAAACAAACTGATTTAAGATAATAGTTGTAACAAAATATAAGAGATAACTGAAAATACTTATCTAAAAGCGTATATTCATGCTTTTGGTCAAGTTCCCAAGATATTGTAGAAGACTTGTCTTCTATTGACTTGATGTTCATCTTTTCTCCTCCTCAAGTTCTACCATTTCTGGGTGATCAATCCATCTCTGGTAGCTTAAGTATGTTTTCTAAAGACTCATATGCATCAAAAGAACATTCTCGATGTTTCTTGGATGCAGTACATCACCAGTGATGTATTCAACCTTAATAATAGTAAGTATTCTCAAGCACTTTTATAAAAAAGATGATAGTGAAATGGGGATTTACCTGCACTATTTTTTTCTTCATGATTTAACACTTATGTTTATTAACTTCATAGGATACAACCTCCTTCTTTTTTGCCACAAAGTCACTTAATAAAGAGATGTTACCTTTTATATACCTTGAGCTTTCCTTGTTGAGATCCCATACTCTCTTAAAAAAGTCAAGACATTTTCCCTACAAAGTCAACCAATAATGCTAGGTAACCAATTTTTATTGGATCCTTGAGGGTGAGTGGAAATACTGTTGCACTTGTGAAACCATTTAAATACACCTTTAGGAACCAAAAATCTCTTCAATTTGCATTTAGCAATAGTGTGGGCTTTCTTACAAAAATAGTGATAAACCAAACGACAATGATAATAGCTTTTTCTATTTGATTCTTTTGCAACAAAATTATACTTTCTGTATTGTTCATATAAAGGTCTTTTGAATTTTGTTGGGTCAACCACGAAAGTGACTTTTGGTTCTGATTCCTTGCTTAATTTGGTTTTTAGAGTGTTAACCTCTTTTTGCCAAATGTGAAAAGTTTCACAACCAAACCAACAAGGTTTCTCATCCTCAATCTTATATTTTTTAGCATTTAACATGATTTGCTTAAGCGTTTTTTTTTGTTTTTCAGTTTCTAAAATTTTAGCTTCATAATACAAAAATATTTTCTTACTCGAAGCCAACCTTTTAAAAGCGTCTATCGCTTCACCATATAGATTCTCAAAAGCAAATTTTAATTTAGAAAAAGACACTTCATCATTAAGTTCATATTTAGAATGACTTTTTTCTTTTTATGATGATGGGCCATGAGACAAAAATTTACTTCTTCATCACTTTCATTTGAGCTACCTTTACTTGGGGATTCACTATCATTTTCCCAAACTATGTATGCTCTTCTAATCTTTCTATACTTCTTGTATTTACGCTTATCTTTATCATTCTTAAGTTGTGGACAATTTGACTTGTAATGTTCAGGTTTACCATAGTTAAAACATGAACTTTTGGACTTTCCTTTCTTATTCTCATCGTGTTTTGAGGAGTCAACTTGTCTTCTAAATTTGAAGAGATTGTTGTCAGACTGCATTACTCTATTTTTCTTCATGTAGTCATGATACCGTTTAACAAACAACCTTATTTCTTCATCATCTGGCTTTTCATTGTCATTGTATCCACTTTCATCGTGCTTTTTTGTTGAGGACTTGAAACTAGAAGCCACAAGAGAAATGAAATTTTTTCCACCTCTTTTTCTTTGTTCTTTTCTTTCTTAACTTTCTTTTCATGTTTCTATAAGCTAATAAGCTCTTGCTTATGTTTTTCAAGCTTACCAAACAACAAAGTTAAATTCCTTGCTCCCCAATCACTAGACCACTTTTTCTCATCTTCCTCATTCCATTGTGCTTACGATTTAGGTACAACAACGTCATCCGCATTGGTCATGGTAATATCTCACCATTAAAAATCGAAACTTTATTATACACCCCTTTTGGGTCGGAAGCCATAATCTAATAAGTGAATTTGAAGCACAAGATAAATCAGTGCTCTTGATACCACGTGTTAGATGAGTGCAACGATCTAGAAGGCTAGGTTGAATAGATCGCCTAATGAAAATTTTCTTATTAAAATTTTGTTTTGAAAAGTATTTTTCAATGGTGAACGGAAGCGAATCCAGATCGACTATTGTCTATCTGAATCGTTATTGGTAGAATCAGATATGCGTACAACCATAGTAAAATGTATGCCAAAGACGAGGAAAGTAAATCAACAAATTCAATATAATTTGTTTGAATATAAACCACACTTAAGATAAGCGATTTCCAATGATAAGTAAAATAAAACTTAACTAAGGAATTTTTTCGAACACTTAGTGTGCAGTAATTTTATCGAACATTTGGTGTGCAATACACCAAGCTTGATTCTCTTTGTGTTTAAGTTATTACAAATCAATTGCAATGGTTTCACAAAATAGTTTTAAACACTTCAACACAACCATAATTTTCAACAATTCAAATTACACACTAATTGTTCTCAAAATCTAGAGAGAGAGAGAGAGAGAAAGAGAGAACACCAAGATTTGTTTAGACAGTTCTCCAATTGTACTCACTATGGACATGTCTACCCTCAATTCGAAATTGCATTGAGATATTGTAATTAACCTTTGTAATATCAATTTACAAGAGAAGTAGTCAAAATTCAAATCCCCAAACCCTATGTTTGACGGTGATCCTAGCTCATTCTCTACCCTTTATCTTAGTAAGATCAAGTCACACAAAGTCTCCAATATGATCCTCCGGTCACTGCTACTCCTTTGATCGAACCATTATTCTTTAAAGTTTTTACTCGGCTGAATTCAAATTGCAAAATCTTACCCCAAACCTTTAAATTGACCCTCTAGTTACCGTTACTCCTTTGCAAGAATCTCCGTTCTTCAAAGCCTTCGCTTAGCTGAATCCAAGTTGAGAAGACTTGTGCAAAAACCTTCAAGTTAACCCTTGCTCTTGGAGTAAAAACCCTAAAGGTTTTATCCTTGAAACCCCTAAAGAAAACTTCAACCCAATTTGATTACACAAACTTAAATTGGACCTTATCAGTCTTGTCTTGACAACAAACAATAAAAATGATTATGTGTAGTTGATGAATGTGCCAAAGAAAGGTTGGAGATGATGAGAACTCTTTGTATATTTCAAGTTTCAATGCTTAGAAATGTTGCATGAATGTGTGTTTATATGTGTGTGAGTGTGTAGAAAAGAATAGAGCAAAATATAATTTTGGCCAAAAATGCACATTTTAAAATTTGGTACATAATGTATTGATTCTAAAATAGAACGAGTTAATACATAAGTTGAATGAGTTAATACGAAGCCAAACAGTGTCAATACATTTAAGGCAGTGACGCCTGCTTGAAAACACCTTTTAGATGGAGTCGACTCCAACCAAGAATGAGTCGACCCATTCGCACGATGTATCGATACATTAGAGGCAGATTCAAATTCTTTGAAAATCAACTCAGTATGTATCAACACATACAAAGGATGTATCAACCCATGCATGACTTTTTATGAAAAACTCATATTTTTGGCTTGTGATGGCATATGTAATCTAATTTTACATGTCCTATGATGATGATGCACTTCTCGACAAAGACTATAAGGGCCAACATACATAAATAGTTAAATTACATAGTTTTGACATCATACAAAACCTATTTAAGAGAAAATTGCACTCAGGGTATTACGATCATAAATACACCCATACATTAATGCAAAATTTATTTTACACGTGGTGATTCTGAATTTCAATCTTCAAATGGTGTGATAAGAAATTGGAATTTGGACTTTTTGGCAAAAATTGGGGTGTACTTATGATGAACTGATTTATTGTATAATAAATGCGTCTAGATTTCAATCTTCGAATATTATGAAAAATATATTTGAATTTCTATAATGGAAGACAGTGAATACCACCTACATATATTAAGAGTGCTTTTAATTAGTATGCCTCTTAAACTGAGAGAGACTCGTTCATTTTAACGTAATACGGAGTATAATTTAAAGTTACCAAAATTATTTAGACTAACTATGAACAACTCAAAATCACTCAAATAATTCCATAAATAAATAAAATTATATTTACTGCATTATATCACTATTTTAAGTTAAAAAAACAAAATTATAAAAGTATAAGTTTGAAATACTATTCGTATAAGTTTGAGGAATGTTAACAACATTATCTTTTTAATATTATCTTTAATATTCAATTTTTCATTAAGTGAAACACACGTGAGTCATATCATTTTTATTTTATTTTATTTATTTTTATAGGTGAGATTCATTTTCAAAATAAAAAATTCACATGTATTTCATTAAATAAGAAAATGAATGTTAGATAGTGTGTTAAAAGGAAAGGATTGATAACATTCCTCTAAATTAAAAATTACATTAATTTCAAATAAAAAAGAACCATCTTTTTCATTTCTAAACAACTCATAAAACAAAACCATTATGTAGTAAAAGAAAAACTTTTCAAAATTATAACAAATTTAAAATTTAATACACAAAATTCCAACATAATTTTCAAAATAGTACCGTTTCCGCCACCTCAGCATAGAGGAGGGAAAATAAAATTTCCAAATAATATTTCAAACTTTTAATAATAATTAATAATCTCTCCGCATTTTCAACTCATCCCCTCTTCACAGTTCAAACTCCAAAACTCATTTCGTGAAGAAAACCCCAAATTCTCTTATTTTCTCTCTACGAAATGGAAGACGATTCATCTTCTTCACCTCAACAAAAACTGAATCGTAACAATAAATGCGGAGTTCGAGTTATTGGTAACAGAATTTACGATTCTGAAAATGGCAAAACGTGTCATCAGGTTGATTTCTAAGCTTTCTGTTGATTGATTCAGCCTCTTAGGGTTTCATCAGAATCTGGATTGTGATTTATTAACATGCATGCGTTATGTTTATTCATTTTGTGTTTATGTTTAATAAAGTGTAGTATTCGAGTTTAGATCTATGTAATTATGACGCTAATGCGAGGTTGATATACGTGGTTTCGTTCAATTATTTTATTTTGTTAAATTGTTATAGGTGTTAACATGTCAGTGTCGTAAGCTTCGTAATTTTAGATCGTGGAGTGATTTGTAAGGGATGTAATTGTTTGATGTGGTGTTGGGTAGCTGTCTTTGGTTTGCATTAGTATATTGTTAGCTCAAGATACCTGTTGCGATTGCATCTTTTTTTTCTTTCTAAAGCCGTGAGTTAATGTGAAAATTTGATTTTATGGGTGGTAGGGTGATGGTGACTGAAGTTTACTCTTTCGGTGTGTTTCTTGATTTTTTGTTTATGTTTATTGATTTATTTTGAGACTGAAGAGAGCACAATCTAACATGGGTATATGACTTTATGGAAATTATATGAAAACTGTAAACTTTGTTGATAGGTTGTAGGATGATGATGTTTTGAGGTATAATTTGACTAGCTAGAAACCGTGTTTGTCTTTGATTTTCAGTTTTGATTCTAATGTGTTTTTTGCTTGGTTTTTCCACATTGAAGTGCCGGCAAAAAACAAGGGATTTTTGTGCTGCATGTAAGAATCCAAGGAATGGGAAGCCTTGTACCATTAAGTTCTGCCACAAGTGCCTCTTGAATAGGTTTGGTTAACCTTTTTATTTTAATTTGTTTTTATTTTCAGAGCTAACCCATTTTATCACGAGTACAGAAGCAGACAAATTTATTGTGTTTTTATACGCTAATGATTTTTCTGTGTTGAATTTAGATATGGGGAAAAGGCAAAAGAGGTTAATTTATTGAATGATTGGATGTGTCCCAAGTGCAAAGGCATTTGTAACTGCAGTTTTTGCATGTAAGTCGTGGTTTGAATATGTGTATTTTGTTTGGTCTTGTGGTTTTCATTTTATACCATTTGATGTGTTAGTTTTGAAAGAAGAGTGACCTTGTAGGAAAAAACGAGGGCAACAGCCTACGGGTTTACTAGCTCATACAGCCAAGAAATCCGGTTTTCACTCTGTGTCAGATATGCTTAGCAAGAAGGCTTCTGAAGGTTTGGAATTGAACTCCGTGTCAGATATGCTTAGCAAGAAGGCTTCTGAAGGTTTGGAATTGAACAATGCTGCTATTTTGCCTAAAGAGGATGGTACTTTGAAAAAGGTGTGTTGATTTTCTCTCCATTTTGCTGTAGTTAACATGTAAGTTAACTTTGTTTGATGGTTAGTAAGTTTCCTCTTCATGTATGCAATTTAAACTAATGACGACAGAAGCAAAATTGTGTTGATTTTCAGTGTATTTATTCTGCCTGGTTTTTATACTTGTTATATACTATAGGAGCTTGTATTGGGTCTATCTGGGGAACCTGAGAAGGAGAACACCTTAGGTAAAATTAATGCTTTAAAGGATGGTGATAAGAAAAGCAAGAAAGTGAAGCGGGAAAACTTAAAGGAAATATCTAATGGCAGCAGTGTTGATGTTGTTTGCCAAAACAACAAATCAAAAAAGCCTAAACTGTGTAATGGAAATGATAATATGGAAACAAAAGTTGAGGAGGATCATGGTAAGATCTATGATCCTAAGGCTTGGGCTGCAAGTTATTATTTTTTTTAATTATTAACCTAATGCATGAGAAAATTGCCAAGACTCTGTAGTGATAGGTGATGATAAAATGTTGGTGTCAAGTCTCAAACAAAGGCTATATTTTTGCTTGCAGAAAAACTTAAGGAAGAGATTCCTTTACCCATTGGCACCGAAATTACAAAAATATTAGACATTGAGCTTGCACAAGAAGATGTTGGGAATGCATTGCAGTTTTTAGAATTCTGCAGAGTGTTTGGAAAGGTATGCCTTTATTATGAATATTAGAATTCAGTTATTGTATAAATGTTCAATGTTATCTTAAATCTTTGTTTGATTAATTGCAAATCACTTTGTTTCATTGCTACTGATTGTCACAGATCATAGATTGTTAGTTCATTCCGCAAGTATTTTTTGTTATGTCTTAGCTTTCATTTGGTTTAGATGTGGTCTAACGTAACCTCTTGATATTGGAGTCTAAGATCAAATTAATAATAGTCATTATATAGAATTTAGACTATTTACCATTTTATTATTATTATTATTATGTAATCTTTAAATCAATCCTTAAATAAAATTACATTGCAGTTGTTCAATTAATTGATTTATTCCTTTAAATTGAATCAAGTTCTCTAGGCATAATGGTGTATTATAATTTAAATATTTTTGTGTGACACATTATATGGTTACATTTGATTATAACTGCTTTATCAAGTTTCCTTACATCCGTTCCCTTGTATAATCAGGCTCTTGATGTCAACAAAGGAAAGGCGGTAGCTGTTTTAAGGGCATTGATCCGTAAGCAAAATTTGCGACGTGGACAAAATACCTTAGTGGTTGAGTTTCAAATCAAATTGTTGACTTTTATAGTATCTGATTCAGAAATTGAGTGAGTTATCTCGTTTTACTTTTTATTTGTTATTTCACTTTTAAAGGTTAAAGGGATTTATTTTGTATATTATGCTTGAATAAACTGTTATTTTTTGGTTCGCTTTTATTTAGGTCTTCACCCTTGACCGCTAGCAGTGGAAAAAATTCATGGTTGAAAGTTCTGGAGGAATTGATTAATGAATCTGATTTTATACTAAAAGAATTTCCTTTGGATTGGCTTAGTAAAGGTATTAGTGGATATTATAATTTGGACTTATCGAAAAAGCTTATCCTTCTGAATTTTATCTGTGATGAAGCTCTAGGCACAATGTAAGTATTTCAAGTTTAAACATGATATTGTTCCGAGTTTTCTTGTTACTTCATTGTTTTCTTATCTTTATTTCTTTTTCGTTCTTTCCCTGTCTTCTTAATATTAGTCCTTATCTTGTCTAAAGTGGCGTGTTACTTGCTTTTATATGTTCAGGAAGCTAAGGAGTTATATTGATCACGAAAATGAAAGATTTGCCAAAGAAAAGAAAGCAGCGAAAGCTAAGGTTGCTGAAGCTAAGGGAAAGGTAAGATGACACATGGTGCTTTGTTTTTTGTTTCCTGATTGGTGTTCATGTTTTTGTGTACATGTTATCTGTAGGAAAGAAGTCTTAAGCAAAAGCTACAAGACGAGATGGCAAAAGCTGTTGTACCAAATGTAGCTAACCTCTCAATTTCAGCACATGATGCTCTTCTTGCAACAATAAAAAGTGAGGCAGCAAAAGCTCATACTGAGTTGATTGAGGCACAAGGCACAGTTCCTAAAGGTATGTTGTGATGTTTATGAGTTGATTCTAGCATTCTCAGGCATCCTTAGCACGTAAGATGTTACGATCCAACACTCGATCTTGACTACACTGTATGTGGGTATAGTATTTGTGTGGTGCATGCTATTATTATAGAGGGAATTTTGTTATAGCATGCATCACACAAATAGAAAAAATCTCATAATTCTTTTTAATTCACTAGGTTTAAATTTTCCAATTTTCGACGTAAAATACGATTATTGCATTACTACTGCTTACCTTTTTAACATCCAGACTAGATTTAATTTGGTTAAACAAAGAAATGCAAATATAGAAAATATGTGAATACATGGTTACACTTTATTTTGGAAGAGTTCAATGTTCTGCTATTGCAACGGTATGTTGTGATGTTTATGATTTGATACAAAGCTGTTGTACCAAATGGAGCTAACCTCTCAATTTCAGAACACGATGCTCTTCTTGCAACAATAAGGAGTGAGGCAGCGAAAGCTCATACTGAGTTGATTGAGGCACAGGGCACAGTTCCTAAAGGTATGTTGTGATGTTTATGAGTTGATTCTAGCACTCTCAGGCATCCTTAGCACGTAAGATGTTACGATCCAACACTCGATCTTGACTACACTGCTTGTGGATATAATATTTGTGTGATGCAATAGTTTTATAATAGCATGCATCACACAAATAGAAAAATCTCATAATTCTTTTAAATTCACTAGGTTTAAAATTTCCAATTTTTGACGTAAAATATGATTATTGCATTACTAGCGCTTATCTTTTTAACATCCAAACTAGATTTAATTTGGTTAAACAAAGAAATGCAAATATAGAAAATATATGAATACATGGTTACACTTTATTTTGGAAGAGTTCAATGTTCTGCTATTGCAACGGTTGACATTTTTTATTTTTCTTATATCATTACAGGGAACCAATGTTGTGATGCAGTGAGAATTAAACATCAGTACATGGATAACAGTGGTAAGACATTCTGGAAATTAAGAAGCTGTGATGATGAATATGCTTTCTTGTTACAAGGTAATTTCAAAAACAAATTCACTTAGTTTTTTCAAAAGGATACCAATAAGATTTAGACTCTAGCGAGTTTACTAATGGTTAGCAAAATTCAGATATCAAGACTGATAATGGTGAAGATGCTGTTAAAGTTGATGAAAAATGGTTTGCTTATGTAGCTGAGCAGAAAGACGAGGTCAATAAGTACATTTCCTCTAGGAGAGATTGGTTACCAAAGCTGACTTCAGTATAATTGCTTAACAGATTGAAGGGTCCTTCCAATTTTTTGGAGATAGTGACAAGAGTCTTTGGTTTTGAATGTAATTAGTCATGTTTAGTAATTGGATTATTTCATTTCACTCCAACTTTTCAAATAGCAAGGATGCAATATGCAGATTAACCAAATATTGAAGATGTTGTATATCTCTTAAATGCTGCTTATATTTTGGTTAAAATGTAATGAATGTTTGATCCTTTATGTTTGCAAAGTTACATAAATTCATTCTTTAACCATATACTTGCTAGATTGTAAAAGATAATGTATCATAATTCTTTGAAATAGTAATAATTCTTTTACAAATTTTTTAAAGATCTTTTCGTAATACATTTGTTAAACTTTTAGTATAAAAAATGGATTTCAGTCATTTGTTAAACCTAATTAATTGTAGTAAAGATTGTATTTGTAATAAAATCAAACCCTTGAATGTTCATATGAATGATACCACTCAACTAATATCATAAATGTAAAATCTATATCATTTCGGTACAAACAAATAACTATATTTGAAGAAATATAAATGAAAGATATAAAAAATTTCGCTATACTTTCGTTAACAATATTTGAAGAAAAGATAACAAATATAAATGAGAGAAACATAATTCATTCAGTGCATTCTAAAACTAAATTGAAATTAAATATTTACTTTAGACATTGACATTTCTAAAAGGATAGATGTAGTCTTAGCATTTTTATTTAGGAATTTAATTAGATATTTATTTTAGACATTGACATTTCTAAAAGGATAGATGAAGTATTAGCATTTTTATTTAAGAGAAAAGGGATGTAAAATAAGTAAACTAATGACAATCATGTATTTAGGAGTGATAAAATGGGTCTGATCCGTTGGGCATATCCGTTTTATCCACAATTTAGTGCGGGGCGGGTCAAAGATTTAGAACCTCACTTTTTAATGTGTCTGTCCCGTTTCGCTTCTTTTTTTTCGCGGGTTTCTGCGGGCACGAGCATTTACATAAAATTTTGTATTTTTAGACTTAAAATGTACAGTTTTTACGGGCTTACCCCGCCCTGCCCTCATTTTTTTGCGGGGTGGGCCTAGATTTTAGATCTGCATCATCAATTATGATTGTTCCGTCCCGCTCCATTTTTTGCAGACATTTGCAGGACGGGTCTAAATGAATCGGACATGTCTGTTTGCCACGAAAAAAAAATGAAGAACGTTGAGCATGAAAACTATGAACTTCGTAAGAAGGTGACTACTTTGAAGGCTGGTGTGCAAATGCTCTCTACTTTGGTCGAAACCCTAGTTGCTACTCAAAGGCAACTTTCTCCTCATATTTCTCAAACTCCGCTTCAAAGGACCGTGATTACTGAAATCATGTCAATGCCCATTCCTTCAGCTCCTATTGGCGCTTCTAGCAACTCTAAGAAGCAAGAGAATAGTTGCCCAAGAAAAAGGAACAAGTTGGTAATGCTATTTCACGAGAGAAACATGGAGGATCTCGTAACAAAAGTAAACAACACGTGGATCAGTTTGACCCGATCCCAATGGCTTATTCTGAATTATATCATGCTTTAGTACAGAAGAATTTAGTGTAAACAAAGAGTCCTCCGACTATCCCAAAGAATCTACCATGGTGGTTTAAGTATGATCGTTTTTGTCTATTTAATTAAGGGGTGCTTGATCATGATATTGAACATTGTTTTGCTTTGAAGGCCGGAATACAAAAGTTAGTGCAAAGCGGTATTTTGTCTTTTGAAGATTCTGGACCTAATGTCTCAACAAGTTTGTTACCCAAGTATGGAAACGCTATGGAAAGATATCTCAGAGAATACTGTATCTCTAACGTGAATTCCATAAGAGGATCTTTGGTTGATATGCACGTCAATTTGTGAAGGCTTACCCATTATGAGCATAATCACGCTTCTAGCAAAATTTGTTCAAAGAATCTCCGTGGATGTTCTATTGTGAAGAGGGATCTCTAGGATATGTTAGATCAAAAACGTCTTCATATCACTAGAGAAATGGTGAATGTCATAGTTCCACACCTTAATATGCCAGAGCCAGTGGTGATTACTTGCAACAGTAAGAAATCCTCTCCTGTGCCTTGTGGATATGATGTTACCATGACGGGAGGTGGCAAGAAAGTTCTTGTTGATGTTGCTCATGCCACTCAAGTGATTCCGAATTATTAATCACAGTTTCATCAGAGAACACATCAGAGTCATGCCCAAAGGAAATTTGATCCAATCCCAACGACTTACAATCAATTATGGTTTTTTTGCCCGAAACTCGGCGTTGATACCCAGAAAGACCAGAGCCGTGAAATCTCGCCCTCTTTGGTTCAATCTAGATACCAGTTGTGAATTTCATGATGAAGCAATGGGGAATTCGATTGAAGAGTGCAAGGTTTTCCAAGAAAAAGTCCAAGAGATGATCGACGATGATGTGGTAACATTCAAGGGAGTAAGCCCAGTTGTGAATGGATCACCTTTATGTTGATGGATATGAAGACTCAAGAGAGTCATTTCAAGTCAGTGAAATCAGGAGGAGAACTCATTCCCAAGATCATCGGGTTGTTTGTTTGTTTGCTTGCATTTGTCATTATTTCTTTGATTATAAAAGCATGATTTGCATGTAAGAAATTGTTTGTTTTGAATGAGTAATGCAATAAATATGTTTGTATTGAAGAAATCCATTTGTATTCACTCATAAAATGCTTTTTCATGTTTTATAATGCCAACTTTACCCAATCTCTTCCTTTGACAGAGAATTAGAGGGAGGATGACGAAATCAAAGACGCAACATCTTGTTGTATGCTTTTGAATAAAACCCGACTGATGATGTAAGGCATTGTTTCAAATCCTCAAACACTGGAGATATAAGGGAGATAGACCCTTGTTAACCCCTTTGAGCCTTGAAGTAGGAGTTTTCTTTTCCTTACATACAAAAAACCCTCAATTTTTACCTAGGGCAGGGTAGTTTTCAGTTAAGCTGATCGAGCACCCAGACTTTCAAAATAGGGAAGTGAACAATCGAGAATCTATTTTATCTATTCCTCACACATTAGAAGGTTGGAAGTAAAATCCACAATGGTTATCCCTTGACTATCTAAAGAGTGAGGCAGTCACAATCCTTTCAAAAAGGTTTAAATGACTTAGAGTCACACAACTTGTTCATAAATCACAAAAAAAAATGAATGAATGAAAAAAAATCTTGATAAGTCAAAACCTATGAAAACGACTTAGGCAAAATTGGGACATCCCTCTGGACTTCAAAGTCAAGTTCAAAATACTCTATCCAGGCAAAATTTAAGGAATGAAAAATGCGAAAATAAAGGATTACAAGAAAATATCCTCAATAAAGAACAAAGTCATGTGATCAAACACCAAAAGAAAATAGGTGAGTAACTACCATGTACAAAGCTTCAGTGGTTTCTCACCCATATCAAAATCCTCTTGAGAGATGGGTGCTCGTATCAGGTTAACTAAATATTAGGATTGGAGAATATCACGAAGAATGGATGGGCACAAATAAACTTTGAGCCTTATATCCTTTGTTTCTTAAGTCGTGAACCAAACCACGATGCAACCCTCAAAAGACCTAATTGAAGCAGGATTTATTTTGAAAGCGTACTCGACGAGATAATGTTTCCTGACTCCTATGAGCTAAGCTCAAAAGTTATGTTGGCTTTGTAAAATTAATTAATTCCCTATCCTAACTAGTGATTCAGTCACAAGTTATTGTGATATCTTTTCAATAAATAAATAAAAAAACTTCAAGACAAGCATGTGTGTTGCATTAACAGTTTCAGAATTAATTTTTTTTTTTGCTCGCTAACATTGCTTGACATCATAGAAGCTTGCATATGAACAACAATGATGAGCTTAATCTTTTGAGACTTGAAACTCTGATTAAAAAGGGTGAAACATTCCAAGAATGACCATATCCAGGGGCATGTTGCCTGAAGACTCTACTGACCAGGGGCAAGTTTGTTTCCCAGTTGTTGCTTTCATAGACTAACCATCCCTAAGGGGCAAGTTTGAAGTTTCAACTATACAAAATGCAGCCAATCTGGGGCAGTTGCGTCAAGATTCGACAAATATCTCAAAGAGTTGGAAGATATTGGAACATCATGTATTCCAAGTTTTCTGTAAAATCCTATTGGAATGACTTTCTTCTCATAAACTATGTGATCTTAGGGCGTTTGAGAATTGAAGATTATTTTATCCATTCACAATAAATGTTTGAAATGGCTACCACCATGCAGTTCATCAATGCAGAGCTACTTTGTTCTTGTAGCATTCTTCACCCATACCCCAAAAAGATTTGGTCTCAAGTTGTGTAATGATTCCCGAGTAAGTCTCTATTCCAGGTAGTCATAACAATTCCCCGGTGAAACTCTACATCAAGTAGTTATGGCATGTTCGATGCAAGATTTCCCCTGTTGGTAACCTAAGAATTCCTAATGATTTTCCTTGGCTTCAACCTTCCCAGTGAAGTGAATGTTATTTCACTCCTCAGTGGATTTCTTACAACTTCAACCTTCCCAGTGAAGTGAATTTTATTTCACTCCTCAATGAATTTCTTACAACTTCAATCTTCCACAACGAAGTGGGTGTTTATTTCATCCCCACGAAGTTTCAACTCTGACATCGCCAACTTGTAGTGTTGATCCGAGCTTCCCCAACAAAGTGGATATTTATTTTATCCCCCATGAAGACTCTCTAATCATGAGTTTGACCCATTCCCAGTGGATCTTTTTTATCCCCAACAAAGTAGCAGGGTTCATCTTGACAGTTCCTTAAGTGAAGTCATGGTGTTCATACTCAAGTGGAGTGCTCTCTTTTTCCCAGAGAAGTATGAAGCCCTGAAGCAAGACTGTGATTCTATGTTTGGCTTCCCATTCACCCCAGTGATGCTTCTATCTTGCGAAGATTGGCCGAGTATCCATGTCGAGATGTTTATTTCATCTCCGGTTTACTTCTCCTCTTTTATTTTTTCAGCATAAGCA